TGTTTATGCTGTCACTAATTTATAAATGATTCATTGTGTATAATTACCCCCCATACTTTTATTAATTTTTCATGATTAATTGTATATAATGTGGTTAAAGGCTTTATCAGTTGTCATTTTCTGGATAAGATTAAGCTATATCTACTCTTATAAGTAATTGAAATTCATCTCCTCAAGTATATACATGATTATATTTACTAATCCCAACTCAAGTAATTGAAATTCATCTCTAATTTTAGTTTGTGTTTCTGGTTTCCATATTTTAAGTTTGTTTAGTTTATATTGAATAAAGAAAGGTTATTAGCTTTATTCTTTTAAAAAGAAAATAAAATAAAAACATAGTTGTTTCTTCCATAAACTAACTTATGGACTTACACCTTCATAAAATATTTTTCATGTAACCCTTTTTAAAAACTTTTACACTTTCTCTCAATCCATTTTCTCTTCTTACTCTTTCTTGCAATAAGTATTCAAAACAAATGCACTCACTACTGTTTTAATGTTCATGTATTTTGTATAGAACCACTGGCCTATACCAATAGTTTCAAAATTTTGCAATCATGATTTTAGAGACAAGTTATTAGCTTTTGCCGAAAGTCAAGTGTGCACTTCTACTAGAGCTCTAATTTTGAGAATACTTGGTAGGGTATGATGTTCCTGTAGTTTTTGCCTTGTTATTTTGGTATTTTCATTTTATGTAATTGATTTCGGTTATTTGACCTACTGTTAGATGAAAAAAAGCAGAAAAAGAATATATTCTTCCTTATTTCACCACTTGTAGTCTTGTCTTGCAGAAAACAAGAGGCTTCTTCACTTGCTGCTAATTGAGAATCCAAAAGTAAAATTGAATTGAAAATTGGAAAATTCTATGAAAACTTTGAAAAGTTTTGGACTTGCTCGTATTAAATATTAATATGAATGTGTTCCCTTCTTATTCAGGAGTGCCATTAAGCATTAAGGTCAAGATCAAGAAAATAAAAAAACTTATCATGGTTTCACCGAATCATCATCACCCATTGTCTTAACTCCCACACCCTTTTTCACATTCTAGGTAATATAATTTACTAACTTTGTTGTGCACTTTGGAATAAGTACTTTCATTTTAACTTGTCTTCTAGCTTTTCAAGATAGAAACATTGTATTAATGAGTGAAGTTGTCTTTGATGAATGGTTATCTTCGAAATTTGATTAGTCATCATTGTGTGTACCCTTGATTCTTTGGATGAGATACAGTAATTGTTGACACAAACTAAATGGTGTAATTGTTGACACAAACTTATTTTTACTTTATGAATAATTTCATTTTCATTAGGAACTGTTTCCTATTATTTTGGTTAAGGATTTTTCTTTATCAGATGATGCTAGAAGTATAAGATGTGAGAATATGAGACTAAAGTCAATGAGTCATAAGAAAGGTAGAATATGAGACATAAGAAAGGTAGAATGATGAAAAGAATGAGTGACATGTTGGACCAGAAGCCACTCAGTTTGCACCCTTCTTTTTCTGCTTCAATTGACCACTTTAATTGTTGTTTTGGTGTATTTAATTAAATTTCATTTTCAATTTTTTGTTAAAACAGGTTTATGGTTGATCTATCTACACTTACACCACCACAAAGTGAGGACCAAAGTTAATCGTCTACCCAACCCAAGTGTAGACGTGCGACTAGGGTAAAAGACTTGACTGTTAGTCGTAATGCTGATCAGAAATTGCCCATTCAATTTGATGAGTACAGGAAAAGTTATTGGAGACAACCGTGCAAGATTCACTAGCTTTGTGGCCTTACTTGATAGAAGTAAGGTTAGTATTCTTATTGACAAATGGGACCATGTTCTTGAAGAAGTAAAGAACCAAATATGGCAAAATATCATGTTATGAAAATCTTAACTTAACTTCCACAATTATTAGAAAATTTGTAAATATAACATTCATGTACCTATTATGTAGCTAACATATGACATCCCAAACAACAAATTATTGAGAAGTAAATGGATATGATATGCTGGGCAATGGTGGGGGGTTTCAAGACTGACCTTACTAGTCGGTATATTTATGGTAAGTTAAGTCACAAGAATCCTTGTGAGATATATCAGTTCCTTGATGAGGAAACGTGGCAGGCTTTTCGGGACAAACGATTAGAACATATCTTTCAGGTAAATTTAATGTTTTATTTATGATTTGATATTCATTTTTTCTGTTTCATAATTTGTTATTAATTTTTTATGTCATATGTTTGAAATAGGAAAAGAGAAAAGTTGCACAAGACCTTCAGAAAAATAATCTCCACCCACACAGAGTGTCTCGTGGGGGATATGATAGGTTAGAGGAGATTATGATCCGTGAGGCCTCTTACTTAGCTACCGATGATGGGTCAGATTTGAGTAAGATTTCTCCACCTCCACGTCATGAGAAATGGAAGAGAGCTCGCACTAAGCTATTAAGAGAATACACTTCTGAAGAAACTCGACTTGTAGCGAAGAAGATTGTTAGAAACTCATAAGAAGCCTAATTTTAATTTTAATTCTGTAGATATATTTTTTGGTATATATTCTGTAATAGATGGACTAAAATACTATTTTTTCAGGATGACTTAGTGGAAAAAAGCTTTCAAGGGTCATTCCCTCAAGAAGGCCGAGATGACATATTAGCGGTTGCCATTGGACGTTCAGAGCATCCAGGATATATTCATGGTGTTGGACGAGGGGTAGGACTCAAGCAATTCGTTGGTGGTCCTACTCGAAAGGTTACTTTAGCAAAACTTAGTGAATCCGATTAAAAGGTGTTAAGGAATGAGTTTAAGAAAGAATTGTTCCCAGAATTGAGAGATGAGTTATTGGCAGAAATCAAATCAGAGATAGCATCCTTAGGTTTGGCTATTCAAGGTCCACCAAAGGGGGCTTCCCATGTTGCTAGCACAAAGGGGAGTTGTCCTCTTCCTGAGGAATCAGGGGATGGTGTTGATGTCCCTGTTGATTGTGAATTGTATGTTGATGATCCCCACTGGCATTTGGTGGCTTTAGGTAAATTTAACACAAGTGTATCATTGTTGAATCATTTAACACAAGTGTATCATTGCTGAATCATTGAAATCTGCATCCACATTCCTGATATTGAATCATTTTGAAATCTGCATTTAGCCTTTGAACCACAATGTTGCCTATACTTGCAGCCTCTCTATACTTGTTGCCTCTCTATATATGTGCTAAGTAAGTCATTTATACCATTTTACTCAACAATTGTCATCTTTTTTGTGTCTTAGTTAAAATATATAATTTGGGAAGCACCATCCACCACGAGGCTATTAAAGATGATATGTTGCGAGTGGTGGTTGTAGATATTAAAGATTCTTCTGCTCGTGTTCCTTTGCCTAGTGAAGAGGTTCAAACAGTGGGGCAAGCTCCAGGAAATTTTATCATTTGGCCAGCCAGATTGGCAAAGCCAATTTTAGTAAGAATTTATATTCATATTTGCCTTAATTACTTATGTATTTGTTGTATTTGGATGCATATAATATTGGACTTATTTTGTGGTCAAATATAGGACGTTTCTAAGAATACAAACATTGTTACACCTCCTCAACCACAATTGTCTCCTCTCCAACAACTTGGTGCAGCGGTAGTCACAATGGGGAATAAAACTATTGAGATAGATATGCCTTCTGAACTCACATGCAAGACTACTACCACCACTTTATATGTATGTCATAGGGATATTTGTGAAATTGTCATTGGTAATGATCTCCTCTCTACAACAGTTCTACAACTTTGGAATTTGTAAGTAAACCTTCACAAACCATGGAAATACTATCATATTGCATTCGTGTATTTATTTGAACATTATTTGTTGATATTGAAGGTATTTGCATCACCTCTGCATCGAGAGAAGGAATGCTACTATCTATGGATTTCTTGATCCTGTTATAATTCAAACTGTAGGAAATAAATCAGAGGAGGTGCAAAAGTACTTGATAGAAATGTTTGAAAAAGCTGGTAAAGAGGTCTATTTAGCACCTTACTTGCATAAGTAAGTACATAATTTTTTAATTTTTCATGAGTAGTTTAAAAGTTTCTTTTAATTAATATTATTCTAACTTGTAGGGGTCATTGGCAATTGCTAGTTATTGTTCCTGATCGTTCTCTTGTAGTTCTCTTATGTTCCTTGCATAAGAAAGCTAACACATTGTCCATCAAAAATATATTAGAGGCATAAGTTTTCCTTTCTATTTTGATTCCTTCCTATATTATTATTATGATGTAATGGATGTCTAACTTTTGTATAGGTCTTTGGAAGCTCATTCAAGGTTGTGGGGTGTTCCATCTGTTTCTAGGAAGAAGATGCAAATAATCACACCTAATGTAAGAGAAGTTTAACTTCATTTTTTGTGTTTTGTGATTGTTATTTTTATGAGGAATTGGATGTGTTGTTGGTTTTGTGAAATTTGGTTTAGCAAAATATACAGAGCTACATGGTGCAAAGGCTAGCTAGAGTATAATTTGATATTTTGTGTCTTTGGTTTGAATGAGTCTTCATTATTTGTATTTAATTTGCAGTGTCGACGTCAATTGGGCAGCTATGAGTGTGGATATTATGTAATGAAACACATGCATACCATTATTTGTACAAACATGAATCATGGAATAAGGTATTAAAATACTAACTAAATACTTATCCAAATATTCATTACAATATTGTTTTAACTCTATTTGTAGATCTTTAATGATTCATCTCCCATGGAAGCTGCAAACATTGAAGACATTATGGGCTTCTTTTATTTTAAGTGTTAGTAGAAACTTGGCTACAATTAAATAGTGTATGTACATTAATGTAATATTTGGATTTAATATATAGTTTCATGTATAAATGATGTATTAAATATTAGACTATTTAATATTTGAAATGAATTATATTTTGTTAGTTTCATTAAATTTGTTTATTTGAAGCTAAATTGATTATAAATTGATTGAATGAGATGTATTATTATAATTTCATGGGATGTCAAATGTAATAATCAACTTTTTTTTTAAAAATATATATTATAACTTACTAAGCAATGTACGTTATGGTACGTTGATCGCATATTATAACGTACAATAATATATAAACTGCGCACGTACTTCAGAAACGTAAATTTCTGCTACGTTATAAAATGCGCAGACTTACTATATCGCCCAGAACTATGTCCCCAGTAACTACGTTATAAAAGATCATTTTTATACGTTGTAAAATGTCATTTCTCCACTAGTGTGTGTTGAACAATATCCAAATGATCGACCTATATTGTCCATCGTTCTATGTTCAAACAGAGATGCTTAACGAAAATTCATCTGTGTGGTTGTGTACGACTTCTACAATAGAAATTACTACTTCCTTGGAAATAGAATAATGTCTGAGTTATTTACTGGCTAAAAAAATAAATTAGATATTGGTTTTTGCTTTTTTTTTTGTGTTCCTTCCACCGTCTAATATAAATAGTTTTTGGTGAGTTAATTTTTTCAAGTGAGAGTCAGAAGTTATGCATAACTTTCTTTATGTAATTGTCTTGAGGTTGTTCTCTTGGGCAGACAACTATGTAAGATTTCACTTTCAGATTTAATTTACACAATTTTTTTTACAAAAAGGTAAAATACTTAAAATTATAAATGTAAATCTTGTTGCATTTATTTGTGGGATGAAATAGGTTCTAATTTAAAACTTCCTACTTAACATAATAGAGTATTTCAAAATAATAAGAACAACTAGGAGTCCTAGCTAGACTAAGTTGCAGCGTCACCATCTCCCTCCAAGGCTTGCTCTAGAGGTACCTTCTTCACCTCTGCTCACATCCAAGTGGATGATCATTGCAACAGAAACACGACACAAACAACAACCAACACAAGCAGAAGGGTGAGTTAGATATACAAAAAATCATGTTATAACAATCACACACAACATGCAAGTTTAATTCGAAGTGAATGAACCATACAACACCACTTGTTACACATTACACTTGACTCATTCGAACTTAGAATGATTGTCGAGCTATGGCGGGTTATGGACTCGTGGTGGCCTCTACTGCTTTGCAAATCCATTGCCAATGGGTTTCACCCTACCACACTCACGAGGTTAGTCCGTTATCACTCACCTTGGGCCNAGTTCCTTGATGAGGAAACGTGGCAGGCTTTTCGGGACAAACGATTAGAACATATCTTTCAGGTAAATTTAATGTTTTATTTATGATTTGATATTCATTTTTTCTGTTTCATAATTTGTTATTAATTTTTTATGTCATATGTTTGAAATAGGAAAAGAGAAAAGTTGCACAAGACCTTCAGAAAAATAATCTCCACCCACACAGAGTGTCTCGTGGGGGATATGATAGGTTAGAGGAGATTATGATCCGTGAGGCCTCTTACTTAGCTACCGATGATGGGTCAGATTTGAGTAAGATTTCTCCACCTCCACGTCATGAGAAATGGAAGAGAGCTCGCACTAAGCTATTAAGAGAATACACTTCTGAAGAAACTCGACTTGTAGCGAAGAAGATTGTTAGAAACTCATAAGAAGCCTAATTTTAATTTTAATTCTGTAGATATATTTTTTGGTATATATTCTGTAATAGATGGACTAAAATACTATTTTTTCAGGATGACTTAGTGGAAAAAAGCTTTCAAGGGTCATTCCCTCAAGAAGGCCGAGATGACATATTAGCGGTTGCCATTGGACGTTCAGAGCATCCAGGATATATTCATGGTGTTGGACGAGGGGTAGGACTCAAGCAATTCTTTGGTGGTCCTACTCGAAAGGTTACTTTAGCAAAACTTAGTGAATCCGATTAAAAGGTGTTAAGGAATGAGTTTAAGAAAGAATTGTTCCCAGAATTGAGAGATGAGTTATTGGCAGAAATCAAATCAGAGATAGCATCCTTAGGTTTGGCTATTCAAGGTCCACCAAAGGGGGCTTCCCATGTTGCTAGCACAAAGGGGAGTTGTCCTATTCCTGAGGAATCAGGGGATGGTGTTGATGTCCCTGTTGATTGTGAATTGTATGTTGATGATCCCCACTGGCATTTGGTGGCTTTAGGTAAATTTAACACAAGTGTATCATTGTTGAATCATTTAACACAAGTGTATCATTGCTGAATCATTGAAATCTGCATCCACATTCCTGATATTGAATCATTTTGAAATCTGCATTTAGCCTTTGAACCACAATGTTGCCTATACTTGCAGCCTCTCTATACTTGTTGCCTCTCTATATATGTGCTAAGTAAGTCATTTATACCATTTTACTCAACAATTGTCATCTTTTTTGTGTCTTAGTTAAAATATATAATTTGGGAAGCACCATCCACCACGAGGCTATTAAAGATGATATGTTGCGAGTGGTGGTTGTAGATATTAAAGATTCTTCTNCGTGGTGGCCTCTACTGCTTTGCAAAACCATTGCCAATGGGTTTCACCCTACCACACTCACGAGGTTAGTCCGTTATCACTCACCTTGGGCCATACTAGAAGCACCCAAGACTAGGACCTCTTGCTACTCCTCACCATATGGATCAATCCTCTCTACTTGAGAAAGAAAGACCATTGGAGCGTCAGGAAAACCCCCAAGACTGAGCTACCATGCAAATCATTCTAAACACTAAGGGCACCACCATGATTCTTCTCCTTGAAGATCATGGAATTACGTCCAATAACTTAGGACACCACCATGTAACCTCCCTTTGAGATCCATGGAATATTATCACATTAAATCCAAACATATAACCTCACTGATCACAAAATATCATAGATACTTTTACACCATTCTAATAATCAAAACATAGCTCAAGGTTATCACAAAACAGGAATAAAAAGAATAAAAATAGGTTTTGGGCAAGTCGCTCAGTGCACCAAACTCGCTGTACGAATAACAAAAACAGTGGGTTTTACTCACTCACATTCGCTCAACGCACCAAGCCTGTGCGCTATGCTAAACTCCATTCGCATAGCGTACCAGGTCTATGCGCTATGTTAAACTGAAAATTCTACTACACATTATCAGCCCTTAAACTCTTAAATAGCGCCCTAAATTCGTTATTCGAATTAATTGATATTAAACCCAGATCACTAACAGTCGCATAGCGACTAGATTCGCAAAGTGAATCGCCAGACAGAGAGCAACCCTCTCCAGTCAGTCGCACAGCGCATACGAATGACTAAACAGAGAGCACCTCGCTGTGAGGACTCGCTGTGCGAAAACATTCGCTCAGCGAGTCTGCATTATCTACAAAACGAAAATCTTGTAGAATTATGCAACTCACACACCATTTTCCAATTCTAACCAGTTTCCCCAACTTTTAACACCCCTAGATTGTGTTTTATACCTAATTAAACTTAACTAGATGATTATAAATGTTCCTACTACAATTCTAAAGTGATTGAGACTCAATTTCTACTCTAGAACACCAAAATCAACAACTTAGTGACCCAAATTCAATTTTTCCACTTGTAACTCGTTTTAGACCAGTTTGATGATCCTAACAAGTCAAAATTGACCAATCTGAGCTACCCAAACATCCCAATTGCACTCAAGACCTCTAATGCCCAAAATCACTACCTCACTTCATCTTAAAGTGACCTAAAACCCTAATAGAACACCAAGTTTCCTACTTATTCACTGATACAACAGGTCTCTCACCACAAGAACTTCAACATAGTCATTACAGCAATTAAATACATCCAAACAGTATATAAACATCACACTCCAGTTCCACTGTCCCAAAGTTCAACACATGCAACTAAACTTTCCAAGTCAAAACACAATACCAATAGTACAGCAGTAAAAAACTCAGCATACATCACATGCAATCAATATAAAAATGTATCCTAGCTTCCCTTACCTTGGAGTTGAACAGCACAGCTCACAAGAATGACTCAACAGTGTCGGACTCAGCAAGAACCTAGACAGCACACTATAACCACCACATTGGTGACGGAAATGGCTCTTAGAGCTCAAGATTTAACAGAGAACAGAAAAGGGGAAACACAAGACACATGCAACTAGCAAAGGTTGCATGTCCTAGTTCAAGATTAGAGAAGAACCGGATAGAGCCATTTACTCGACTAAGACCCGAAACTGATCGATTGGTTTTGAAGCCTTCTATGCTGTGGATGCTTGGGCGTCACCTAAACAGAAATCCAGTGGCTTAGTGAAGAGGACCGGAAGA